AAAACCTACAGAAAGAGGTCCAAATGATTAATAATAGAATATCAGAAATGGACAATACATTGAAAGGGCAAAGGAATAGAATTGAAGAGATAGAAGCCAGAACTAGTGAGCTAGAAGATAAATCTCTCAACACTACTAAGATAGGGACTGCGGTTATCAACATGCATTTAAATATGATTTTTGGAGTCCTGGTGTGGTGCTGTGGGCTAACGGGTCAGACTGCAAAGTCACTTGAACTGAAAAGTCGGTGGTTCAAGCTCACCAGCTGCTCCTTGGAAATCCTATACAGGGTTGCTTTGGGTCGGACTTGACTCAACGGCACTTAACAATAACACTATGATTTTTATATTGATAGAAAATATATTTAGTTTTTCCATAAAACTTTTATATTAGCCTTATCTTGCATGTCAAAGTTTTTCATGAAAAATGTAAAACAAATAAACTAGAGAAAGCAAAATGAACCAAATACATACATGTGTACATGCATATATGTATCGTATAATACAAATCAATTTCACTGTATCTTACTGCACCTACAAAACAAAACAGAACTAAGTAGGCAGACTTCTCTCTCTGGCAGGTTAAATGAAGTGGACCTCAATTTCCCCATTTAAAAACAAACATGTTGTGGGGCTAATGTTACCATCTTCCCAATCTTGAGAACTATAATACCATTATATAAACCTATGCTCATGTTTCTGTTTTAGATGATTCAGAATAAAATATATGAGAAAACTAGAACATTCGTATTGAAGTTGTATCACTGTGTGATGAAGAAAAAAGAACACATGAAATCTTGGACTGGATCAGGACCCAAAGTCTAAGACAACTGCATCCTTTCCAATAGCTGACTCAGGACAGAAAACAAGCAAAGAAAGAAACAGCACTTCCCGTGCAGATTTGAAAAAACAAAACAAACAAACAAACAAAACCCCCCAAATGCTGTGTACTGCCACAAAGCAAGGTCCTACAATATGTTTTTTAGTTCTAACTAGAACTTCATTAAAACAATGGGCACTGGAAGGGCTGGCTGGTTGGAAGTTTAGGGAGATATGTGAACTCCTAAGCCCTTCACTCTTACCTGGCTGGGGCTAGGGCTGACATGAAACAACCAGCTGATCTGAAGTGCAGGGAGGTGTGTGTGAACTCACAAACTTGCAGATAGTATCCATTTGACCTAGTCTGGATGACCAGAACTTGGCCAGATGAAGATAAAGAGGTTTGATACTACAGGTATTGTATAAATGTTTACAATTTGATGAACTGGACTTTGGCTACGGATGCAGTTACTCAAAATTACAACAGGTATGGAATAATCTTCATATCAATTAATAAGCTTGCTTCCTCAGAATACTGGGCTGACTGTTATTGTTAGTGCTATTGAGTCTATTCTGACTTATAGCGACCCTATAAAGGAGTGGTTGGTAGATTTGAACTTTAAATATTGTACTCAGCAGTCAAGGCACTGGCTATCAAAAACGGAGAGCTATAAAGGCATTCTATGACTGACTTATAAGCTTTCGAGCGTATTTAGTTTCAGAATGAGAAGGGTTAGGTAGAATTCCAAATGAATAGTTTTCCTCTTTTACAGATGGATCTGTGAAAGAGGATGGGGGGATAAAGGTGATGGGAATTCATGATTCTATTGTGAGTAATTGTTAGCAAAACTAATTGCGATTGGCATCACTGTAATTGTAGAAGATAACTAAACTAGGGGAATAGCTAATCTTTCATTTCAGGAAATGACGATCCCAGACCATCAAGAAGGAAGAGCATGAGTGGAATGTGGGATCCTACCTACAGCAGAGACCGTGGTAGAGGTGGTGGCATACAGACACAGAGCAGCTTTGGGCTCTAAGCACATGGACTGAATAAGGGTATGTGCCAGCAGGCAAGAGACTGGCTTGCAGAATGGGCCCTTTGGATATTTAAATGAATATATATTTTTTGTTTTTTATGTGTATATTAAATATTTTATTTTTGTTGTGTTCATTTGTGAAATACACAATGTAAATGGGAAGACACAGGAAAGAAGTAGGATAACTTGCTGCAGGGAGGGAATGTAATCACTGAGATGAAAAAAAACCCATATAATTTGTTGGATGTAAAGCTGATAATCCTGTCTGTAAACCTTCACTCAATTCACAATAAAAGTTAAATAAATGAACGAATGAATGAGGACTGTCTCCACAAAAGTGATGCAATACATGGTGGCAACAACTATGAAAGCGTATTGTTTTATTTGTTGTTGTTGTGAAGTGCCGTCAAGTAGATTCCGACCCATAGCGACCCTGTACAGGGTTTCCACCAACCTTGCAGTTCAAATGGCTCTGCAGTCTGACGCTTTAGCCCACAGCACCAAACCAGGAGTTTATTACAGATCTAAGCTCTGGTAGCGTAGTGGTTATGAATCAGGCTGCGAACGGCAAGGTCAGCAGTTCGAAACTACTAGCTGTTCCGCGGGAGAAAGATGAGGCTTTGTGCTCCAGTAAAGATTTACGGCCTCAGAAACCCTGTACAGACAGCGTCACTATGAGTCAGAACCGACTCCACGGCACAAAGCCACCATCACCATAATCTCTAGTTTGTTATTACAGCATTCTCTTTAAAGAGACTAGTGTTCTTATGTTTTTAAAGTTGTCTTTTTACTGTTACATGTATAGGCACAGGATTCAAAAAGTTTGTGGAAAAATTCCATGATCTTTCAATTCCATTTTCCATGAACTTTCTGAAGCCTCCTAGTATTTATGTATCACTTATGCTGGTGTGGAGCTATAGGATAAACACTGGAATGGTAACCAAGTTCACCAGCTCAAACCCAAAAACCAGTCTTGGAGACCCTATACAAGGTTTTTATGAATTGGAACCAACTTGACGGTATACAACAATATTATTCTATAGCTATTTATGTAGCCTGCATTCAGGATAAGATTCCCTACTAGATGATAGATAAAAAGAAGACTAAGACAAAGAACCTTTCCTAAAATTTTTGTAAATTAAAACAGACCAGGCATATTTTAAAAATTTCTTTTGAACACTTGTATCTGGTACCATTAAAAACATGAGATATTTGTCAGATAATTTGTTTACCAATTTATATGCAAAAATTCCTTTAAAATTGTAAACATGTCAATTGCTGATAGAAATCAACAATTTAAACATATTTCTGTGTTCTTAAACAGAGATAGATTATGAAAAGTATTTCTTAATGACTCAAAGTCATCATTATAAAGATTCTTTAATGTACAGTAATTTTATATAAGGTGATCTGGTATGGCATTGTAGGAGAAAGCACTAGACCACAAGGTTGGTCTGAACTACAAGGTTGGCACTTCAAATCCACTAGCCACCCCTTGGAAACCTTATACAGAGTCTCTATGAGTTGGGACCAACTCGACATCACTTAACAACACAACAATATTTACATGCTACTGAGAGTTAGGAGGTCCTAGCATGGCACTACAGGATAAGCACTAGACTGCTAACCTGAAGACTGGCAGGTCAAACTCACCAGCCACTTCTTGGAAACCCTATATAGGGTCACTCTGAGTTGGAATCAACTCGATGGTACTTAACAATAACAACTGAAAGTTGCATCTCCTATAATTATTAATGCCTGCCACTAATACCACTTTTCCTTCACAGCCTTTCTTTCTTTTTTCCTAGCATGCAATGATTTGGAGACTAAGGAAAGTCAATTGTTGTTTACAGGCCACTGTTTCCAAGTTTGGGGACAGATCCTAAAGAAATGGTCCCAACCTTTGAAAACAATTCTTTTTCAAGTTATGTTGTATTTGTCACAATTTTTTCAGTTGATGATAAGGAAAGCACATATTGTATGAATTCCACAATACTTTTTAATGGTTTTTCAATGGTATCTATGTTGTTACTGTTAAGTGCTGTCACTTCAGTTCCGACTCACAGTAACCCTGTATAGGGTTTATGAGGAACGGCTAGTGAGCTTGAATCTATAAACATCTGATTTCTGTTTTTAAAAAGTTCATGGTCTGTCTAAACATAACGTTGGTATGATCTACTACCTAGGGAGCTGCATTTACAATAGACACCTAGGAAGCACTAACGTTTACATGCCATTGCTTCACAAAGTTGAGCTTGGTCAACTTTCAGTAAATGGAGGGTTGTGAATTATCATTCACTGATATATGTAAAATTACTTACTCATTTCTGGTTCAGCAGTGAGATCTGCAGTCACAAAATTAGAAGGAAATAACCCTATGCCTTGATGGGTTTCACCTTTCCACCAGTTGGGGTCACTACAATGAATAAAAAAGAATGTTTTACTATAATAAAGATTTTTACCTTTATATATCTATTATTATCAGATTTGAATCTCACAGTAATCTACAGATGGTCATGATGGTATCTTTACTGTAAATAAAAACTGAGGCCTTAGAGAAGATAAAAAAAACCCAACACAGTCCTTTGTCTATTTGAAGGTTGATGGACATCTTTGAGAAAAGGCCCCCACATTTAGCCAGGCCCCTCAAAAGAACACATGTGACAGATAATCCCACATGCACCAAAATCTTCACTAGGAGCACACTTTCACATAAAGCCACACTTACCACTGTATGCCCAGAATCTTGTATGAGAAAAGCTAGTAAGTACTCAGAAACATTTTGAATGATTAAATGCCCAGGGTTTATGCAGCCTACAGCTACTAAGCACACATTTTACCTCATTTTCTTCCACTCAGGAAACCTTAAATCTAGTCTAATTTCTCTTTTAAAGTCATTTAGTACCAAAATCGAGTCCTGGTGTGGTACTATTGGATAAGCATTGGACTGTAAAATTGGTTTGAACTGCAAGGTTGGTGATTCAAACTTATCAGCAGCTCCTTGGAAACCTACCAAGGGTCACTATAAGTTGGAACCCACTCAACAACTTATAGTGACAACAAACCACAACAGTACTTAATTATTAAAAACAACCCATTTCCAATAATATTAAGCATCACAAACCTGAAGTTAAAAAAAAGTCCTATTATGTTTTTATGTGTATAAATAAATACACATAATTCTCTATATTTTCTAAAATATTAACTCCTCTACTAATGAAAATATCTGACTCAACTGTGTTTTATTATTATTTATATCTGGTAACTATATTCAACAGGAATAATATAAATAAAAATTAATGTTACATATTTTCATCATTGTTCAACTTTCTTAATTTTAACTGTTACCTGTCATCAAGAACTGTAATAATTTCTCCAGCTTTAAAAGTTAGTTCATTATCTTCAGCAGCTTCAAAGTCATAAATAGCACGAACTTTTCGACCTTCATGTTGATGGTTAGTTAAGAGATTGGATGTGCTTGGATACAAACTGGAGAGTGTGGTTGGCTGTTGCCTTTGTTCTTTCAGGGACAACTCAATAGCTGAATAACAAAGGTTTTCAAAGACTCAAAATGTTAGTACATCAAACAACCCGAAGAAGAACAAAATATATTTGAAGATAACTCAAAAAACTTCAATGTATTCTTTTAAAAATAATCTTGCTGGAATCTAGGACATATTATGATATAAATCATGCTGTCAATTTGATTTCTTCATTCATAATTGAAAGTTAAAAATAAATAAAAACATTGCATAGTATGATGAACTGTTATTTTTAAGGAAAGGATACATTTTAAATTACTCTCTTCTGGGTAACAAAAAGATGTAAGTTCTTAAGACACATAATTGTTTTTTTAATTTACCTGCTGACATTTTTTTCGTGTATTTCTTTAATGTGTTCTTATAGCTTAAGTTCCCAAAATAAAATAAAAATCACAAAAGAAGTCACTGTTTAAACCTTACTAGAGACATACTAAATCAGGCAGGCCTCAAAGGTAGTCCTTCAAAATCTGTACTTTTAGAATTACCTTTGGAGCAATAAAATAAACAGTCTAAGAATTGAAATTCGGAAATAACTTAATAAAAACTCACCTAACAAATAACTCAAAATAGATCTTAAATATGTCTAGTCTTTCTGTCTCCACTACCACTCTCCCAGAGCATACGTCACCTGGACTGCTGCTGTACTTGTACCCTCTACACAGACTTCAGTAGTCTGGTTTCACCCTAACCATAGCCCTTTCTTTCTGTTTACCTCTGACCTAGGTTGTTAAAAGACCTAATATAGAGACAATAAAACCATTAAAAAAAAAAATCATACAAAACTAAAGTATACATTAAAAACCAAGAGAAGATATATAAATAAGATATAACAAGCAAAAGAATAATATTCAAAACATAGCCTTTATACATAATGTAATTTAAAAAAAAAAGAAAAAAAAAACGACTCAAGGGGGAAAAAAGGCAGTGCACTAAATGAGAAATAAGAATAGTCAGAAAATATTAGAATTTACTCAGGATCTTTAGTAATGAAGTAAATAAAAATTAAAATAACTAGAAACCATTTTAAATCTATCACATTCACAAAAGTCAAACTCTGGCAATACCAAGTGATATTTTTATATCATCTCAATACCAGAAGATATTTTCATCCATTGCTGAAAGAAAAAGTCACACAAACATTAAGCAAAACTAAAGACGTGCCTACCCTGTTGTTATTGTTGTTGGGTACCATTGAGTCGTTATCGACTCATAGTGACCCTATGTACAACAGAACGAAAACCTGCCCAGTCCTGCGCTAACTTCACAATTATTGCTACATTTGAGCTCATTGCTGCTCCACTGTGCTGATCAATCCATCTTGTTGGGAGTCTTACACTTTTTCTTCAACCCTCCACTTTACCAAACATTGTATTTTTCTCTAGGGACTGGTCCCTCCTGACAATATGTCTGAAGTTATGAGAGATTTAGTCTGGCCATTCTGGCTTCCAAAGAGCACTCTGGCTGATTGTACTTCTTCCAACACAGATTTATTTGTTCTTTTGGCAGTCCATGGTACTTTTAATATTCTCCTTCAACACCATAACTCAAATGCATCAATTCTCCTACGGTCTACTTTATTCACTGTCCAACTTTCACATGCATATGAGGTTATTAAAAACACAATGGCTTGGATTAGGTGCACCTTACTCCTCAAACTGACATTTTTTGCTCCTGAACACTTTATAGAGATCTTGTACAGCAGATCTGCCTAATGCAATACATCATTTAATTTATTGACTGATGTTTCCATGAGTGTTGATCCCAGCAAAATGAAGTCTTTGACAACTTAAATCCTTTTTTGTTTACAATGAGATGCGCTGCGACCGAAGGCTGTAGGTCTTTGATCTTCATCAGAAAATATTTTAAGTCGTCTTCACTTTCAGCAAGCAAGGTAATATCATCAATACACTGCAGGCTGTTAACGAGTCTTCCTATAATCCTGATGCCACATTTTTTGTTCATATAATTTAACTTCTAGAATTATGTGCTCAGCATACACACTGAATTAACTATGTGGAAAGAGTACAACCTTGGTGCATACCTTTCCTGACTGTAAACCATTTGGTGTTCCCTTGTCCTGTTCTAACAATTGCCTCTTGATCTATGTACAGGTTCTTCATGAGCACAAGTTTTCCAAAATACTCATTCTCCACAATGATGCCCATAGCTTGTTATGATCCACACAGTTGAAACTCTGCGTAGTCAATAAAAAACATGTAAACATCTTTCATTCTCTGCTTTTAGCCAAGATCCACCTGACATTAGCAATGAAATCCCTCATTCCACATCCTCTTTTGAATCCAACTTGAGCCTCCAGAAGTTGTCTGTCAATGTATGGATGCAGCCATTTTGTATTATCTTTAGCAAAAGATATTAATGACATTGTCTGATAATTTCTGCATTCTGTTGGGTCACTTCTCTTTGGAATAGGCACAAATATGAATCTATTCCAATTAGTTGGACATGTAGTTGCCTTCCAAAATTCTTAGTAAAGTGCAAAGCCATCAGTTCAAGCTTACCAGCTGCTCATCCAAAAATCTGTACAAGGTCGCTATGGGTCAAAACTGACTGGACAACACTTAATAACAACCCACCAGAGTTTGCTGAAAAATTTCAATTTGCATTCCATCAATTCCCAGGACCTTGTTCTTTGCTACTGCCTTCAGTGCACCTTGGACTTCTTCATTCAGTACCATTGGCTCTTCATCATACACTACCTCTGGAAATGGTTAAACATCAACCGTCTCTTTTTGGTACAACGACTCTGTATATTCCTTCCATCTTCTTCTGATACTTTCTCCATCATTCAATATTTTGCCCATATTTAGTAACACATAACTTACCTACTGCCATAAAGAAGAATCTGACCCTGGTTGTTATAAAGTGTTGTCGAGTTGGGCCCGACTCAGAGACCTTGTGTAGAAGCGGCTGGTGAGTTTGAACAGCTGAACTGGTAGTTCAAACTCACCATGCAGTCTACTGTTTATCCTACAGCACCACATTAGGACTTTACAATCCTATATAGGGTTCTGACACTGAAAATCTTGACGGGAGCAGAAAGTCTCATCTTTTTTCTCCACACAACAGTTGGTGGGTTTGCATTGCTGACCTACTGGCTAACAGCACAATGTCAAACCCACATTACCACACATAAGAAAGTTATATCTATGTATGTTGTTGTTGTTTTGTGCCATGGAGTCGGTCCTGACTCATAGTGACCCTGTACAGGGTTTCCGAGGCTGTATTTCTTTACGGGAGCAGAAAGCCTCATCTTTCTCCCGCAGAACAGCTGGCAGTTTCGAACTGCTAATCTTGCAGTTCACAGCCCAATTTGTAACCACTACGCTAAAGGAGCTCTGGTAGCGTAGTGGTTACGAATCGGGCTGTGAACCGCAAGTTAAGCAGTTCGAAACTACCAGCGGTTCCGCGGGAGAAAGATGAGGCGTTCTGCTCCAGTAAAGATTTATAGCCTCGGAAACCCCTGTGCAGGGTCGCTATGAGTCGGAACCAACTCCACGGCACTTAACAACAACAACAACAACGCTACCAGAGCACCTTGTACCTACGTATATGTGAGAACAAGTACAAAGATACTCACTACAGCATTATTTGTTATAGAAAGAAATTAGGAACAGCCCAAATGTCCATCAGTTGTTGTTGTTAGATGTCAATGACTTGGTACCGACTCACAGCAACCCTATGCACAACAGAACGAAACACTGCCTGGTCCTGGGCCAACCTCACAATTGTTGCTAAACTTTAGCCCATTGATATTACCACTTTGCCAATCCATCTCACTAGGGGTCTTCCTCTTTTTCTCTGACCCTCCACCTTACCAAACATGATATCCTTCTCGTGACTGGTCCCTCTTGACAATATGTCTGAAGTATGAGAGATGAAGTCTGGACATCCTGGCCTCCAAGGAGCACTCTGGCTGCACTTCCTCTAACACAGATCTGTTGGTTCTTTTGGCAGTTTGTGGTACTTTCAATACTCTCCTCAAACACCGTAATTCAAAAGTATCAATTCTTCTATGGTCTTCCTTATTTACTGTCCAGCTTTCACATGCATATGAAGTTACTGAAAATACCATGGCTTGCATCAGGCGCACCTTAGTCCTCAAGCTGACATCTTTGCTCTTCAACACTTTAAAAAGGTCTTGTGCAGCAGACTGTGCCTAATGCAATATGTCATTTGATTTCTTGACTGCAGCTTCCATGAGTGTTGATGGCTGATCCAAGAAGAATGAAATCCTTGACAACCTAATGCCATGTTTTTCTTCATATAGCCCAGCTTCTCAGATTATTTGTTCAGCATACAGTTTGAATAAGTATGGTGAAAGAATACAACAACCCTGTCGCTCATCTCTTAAATTTAAACCATTCAGTATTTCCATTTTCTGTTTGGACAACTGCTTCTTGGTCTAAGTACAGATTCCTCATGAGCACAATTAAGTGTTCCGGAATACTCATACTTTGCAATGTTGTCCATAGCGTGTCATGATACACTCAATGGAAAGCCTCTGCGTATTCAATAAAGCATAGGTAAAGTTGCATTTTGAGTGTCTTCCAACCTGAGGGGCTCATTGTCTGGCACTATATCAAGTAGGGTTTCTCTGCCATTCATAAGGTTTTTAGTGACTAAATATTCAGAAGTAGTTCATCTCTTCCTTTTCCTAGTCTGTCTTCATCTGGAAGCTCATCTGAAACTTGTCCATTGTGTGAGATCCTGCTGGCATTTAAAATATGTGTTGCATAGCTTCCAGAATCACAGCAACTCACAAACCACCACAGTACAACAAACTGACAGATGAGTGGTGGAAATGTCCAACAGTAGAATAGAAAAACTATACTTATTAATTTACTGAATACTAAAACAACTGAACTTGATTATATGTCTTAACTCAGTGTTGAGTAAAAAGTTACAGAGTGTACTTAGACTATAATATTATGAAAAAAGAATTTATGATGGATACAAAACAGTACTTTACATTATTTATAGGGAAAAATACGCAGTAAAAATATAATAAAAACAGACTGAAATGATACGTATGATAGTGCTTTTCTTAAAGGAAGAGAGGAAGAAAATGATACTAGCAAGGGGAATGGAAATGATTCTAGCTTTGGCTGTAAAGTCCTACTTATTTTATTTCTAAATGTCTTAGGTGGGAGAATTTAAATCAGAGCAAACCGGCTTATTCTCACCATTAGGAACTTACTACACGCACCTTTTGCTAAGTCTTCTTCTTCCTTTTTGTTAGCCACAGTTTCAGGATCCTTTGCTACCAGAGCAGGGCTTGCTTTTGCTTGTTCCGCAGCCTAGCACAAAGAAAGGAAAATAGTTCTTGAGAACTGTTCTCCAACTTTCCAACCCTTGCCCGACACAAGAACTTGCAAGAAGAAAGACCTTTCTCATCAAGCCCCCGCATTTCTGAATGCAGAAATTCAAAACAGAACACAGGCTCTGTTTTAAAAGAAGAGGGAGAAAAGGCAAAACTGGGAGAAGACACCACCATGTGTTCCTCAGATAGCCTAGGCTCCCTCTCCTAGATGTGTGCAAGGAGGTTAAACTAAAAGCAGACCACATGTAACTTGGAGAAAAACAGACTAAACAGAAGAGATTTTAAAATTTGTTAAAAAATTCTAAGATCAGAAAAGGGATTAAGAAAGGGAAAAAGAAGACTACTATTTAAAAAAAAAAAAAACAAAAAAACACAGTATTTTCAATTGTTATATTTTATTATTTGTTTCCAGGTCAAAAATCAGGATGCAATCTTCAGCACCTGATTTAGAGTCCACATAACAATATAAATGCTTATAAAATTAACCTATTTTACAAACCAGGAAACAAATAGCTTAACAATATGTGAATTTACTAGTTTATCTTAAACATATTTTATAGGTAAGGAAATTTTTAAAAAAGAAACAAGGAAAATCAGACTCCAGACTAGCTTGCCCAGGGTCATTTCCAACCATTCTACCAGTTACCAGAAACTGCTATCAGTTACTGAGTAGTCTTGTCTATGTGTATTTCCACACCTCTGGCATATAATTGCTTCTTTTTTCCTATTCACATCTTCCCCAGAGTTTCAATTCACCAGTCAATAAACAACTAGCTATAATGTCATTTCTAATATCAAAATTTCCTAATTGCCTTATCCAACCATTCCCTCTTATGCAGTGAAATAAAATACGAAAGGTTTAGTGCAAAACCGATATTCTCCCATGTAAACTATCACTCAATTCACAGTAAAAACTTTAAAAAAAGGTGTGGCGCTGTGGGTTAATGCGCCAGACTGCAAAGCCGTTTGAACTGCAAGGTCGGTGGTTCCAGCTCACTAGCTGCTCCTTGGAAACCCTATCTAGGGTCGCTAAGGGTCGGAATCGACTCAACAGCACTTGACAACAACAACTCAGTATATATCACGCTGAGAGAAAAAGGCCAGATGCAAAAGAATACATAGTGCATAATTACATATATATGAAATTCTAGAACAAATGAAACTAATTTAGTTAAAAAAAGAAAGAATGCAAGCTTGAAGTCAGGCAGGCATGGGTTCAAATCCCAGATCCAACAATTGCTAGCTATATGATCTAGTGTGCATTAACCTCCTTGTGACTCAAGTTCCTCATCTGTAAAGTCAGAGTAGCAGCAGCTACACTTCATAGGTTGATGAGTAGATTAAATGAATACATGTCACAATCAGAAGAGATGGGACCTACTCAGGGTTTAAAACAACGTTGTCTCATGGGGTTTATAACATATATGAATAGACATATATATGACAATTATAGCATAAAAGAAAGAGCTCTGGTAGCGTAGTGGTTATGAATCGGGCGGCAAACCTCAGGGCCAGCAGTTCAAAACTACCAGCTGTTTCACGGTACATTACAACTAACTAGCATGAAAGATGTTGGGAAGAGTAAGGGCACTTATGTTGTTGTTGTTAAGTGCTGTTGAGTTGGTTCCGACTCACAGCGACCCTGTACAGGGTTTACAAGGCTATAAATCTTTACAGAAGCAGAAAGCCTCATCTTTCTCCTGCAGAGCAGCTGATAGTTTCGAACTGCTGACCTTGAGGTTTACAGCCCAATTCTTAACCACTATGCTACCAGAGCTCCTTAAGGGCACTTACACAGACAAGTAAAAGGTTTGGACATTTTACATGAAATGATATATTAATTAAAAGTATAGTGACAGCAAAAGGTAAAGAATGCAAACCCAGGGCAATCATTAAATATATACGGAATTTTAAAATATATTCAAATTACCACATGCACAGTGACAGCAGTCAGAACAACGTCTGGCACATACTGTTACTGCTGCTGTTAAGCGACATCAAGTTGGTTCTGACTCAAGCGACCCTGCGTAGGGTTTCTAAGGAACGGCTGGTGGCTTTGACCCTCCACTATGTAGTTCATATCAATCTTGCGGTCCAATACTTATCCTATAGCGCCACACCAGGCACATATTAACAGACAGCAGTTTCTATTAAAATCTGGCTGTATGTCTGTCTCCACAAGACATAAAGCTCCTTGAAGGCAGGGGCCAACGTGCCTAAATAAAAAAGCACTCAATAAGTGTTTATGGAGTGAATGAAAGTCAAAATTTTCAACATTATAGTAAAATACAAGTTCTATATACTTCAGTTAATGTTGTTGTTATTGTCAGGTGCCATCGAGTCGGAACCGACTCATAGCGACCCCATGCACAGCAGAACGAAACAATGCCCGATGCTGGGCCAACCTCACTACCGCTGCCACACTTGATGTCATCAATGATGCCAACTGGCCGATCCAGCTCACTGGGGGGGTCTTCCTCTTTTTCTCTGACCCTCCATCTTACCCAGCATGACATCCTTTTCCAGCGACTTTTCCCTCCTGACAATATGTCCAAACTATGAGGCGAAGCTTAGCCATCCTTGCCTCCAAGGAGCACTCTAGCTGCACTTCTTCCAAAACAGATCTATTGGTTCTTTTGGCAGTCTATGACACTTTTAGTATTCTCCTCCAACGACACAATTCAAAGGCATCAATTCTTCTACGATCTTCCTTATTCACTGTCCAGCTTTCGCTTTCGCATCCATATGAGGCTATTGAAAATACCATGGCTTGGGTCAGGC